GCTCAAAAACTTAAAAAAATATATAAACAGAAAATTGATTTTATATTTGTTAATAAAACATTATTGTATTAATGAGAGTTGGTGTATATTTAATAAAGAAGGGATAAATTAGATATAAAAAACAGTAATAAAAAAATCAGATTGAATTTGTTTTTTATAAATTTAACTGGAAACTGATTATAATATCTGAATATTAGTTTATATGTTCTAACAATAAATTTAATAACAGTTCTTTCAAGAGAAATTGAAATACCATATTGTGATTTTTCATTATTAAGTATTATAGTCAAACCTCTATAAATGCAACATATACAAACTAGCCTAAAATATGCATTTAGAGAAGTTTGCATTTAGAGGAAGCCAATCAAATTGCAGCTTTTAATATTTGATCTGCAGACTTGTATAACAAACTTAAATACAGACTTCTAATTGGCTACGTGTATTTAGAGAGATTAGTATGATATAAAAAATCTTTTGAGTAAACATGCATTTGCAGAATATAAAACATATATTTAGCACTAATAATTTTATACAGCCAAGACAAAAATATGCATTTAGGGAGGTATTGTATTTATGGAGGTTGCATTTAGGAAGGTCTGACTGTAGTTACACATTTCAGAGTTGAGACGATATTAATTTTTTTATTGAAGCTTATAGCTGACAATTCAGATTTGCTATCATCAAAAAAATGGTTAGATACTACAAAGATGGTACAATAAATCATCGATCATATAGATGTGAATTTGGGGAAGTATACAAACCAAAAAAAAATATAGATGTTAATATTTATCATAAACAACAATCCAAGCGTCAGGGATGTGGATGGTATATAAATTTAAGTTTCCCAATAGATGCTACTTGTATCATAGTCACAACATTTACCAATAAACACAACTATGAACTTAATCCAAAGATCGATAAATATAGTCCTAAATTTAGATCAATTAGAAAGGATGCAATAAATAAAATTAGATTTTATACTAAAAATAAAAATCTTTTGATTACTATATAGCATCAATTGTTGAAAGCCAGATATCTGGATATGATCTTTTTGGATAAAGATCTTGCAAATGCTATTCAACATTTTAAGAATAAATATAGAAACCTTAAACAATCAGATGCTTCACAGCTTTTTTCATTTCTTACCAAAAAACAGTTTGAAGAATCAGAATAGATTGTTGAATTTAAGTTAGATATCAACAATCATCTAATTCAGCTTTTCTGGATGATACCTGACCAAATATCATTGTGGCTCAAGTACCATGATATCATTCTCAATGATAATACAGCCAAGACAAATCGGTATCAGATACCTTTTAGTTTGTTTCTTATTGTTAACAATAATACCAGATCACATTTAGTAGCACAAGTACTGATATCTGACAAGATAGTTAACTTTTATTAATAGATTCTTCAATATACTAAAAGGGTTACAAGTGTTAAACCATTAGTTTTTATCATAGATACTAATCCAGTAATAGATAGTATACTTAAATAAGTATATGTAATAACTAAGTCATTACACTGTATCTATCATATAAATTAAAATCTTCTGAAGAATCTCAAATCTACATTAGACAACATGTATGATCAATTTATTAAAGAATTTTTTAATTGTCGTAATATTCTGGATAAGGTACTGTTTGAAAAAAGATGGCAAAATTTATTACAAAAGTATTCTTCTGCCGTAAGCTATCTGAACCAAATTCTTTATCCTAGCTATCATGCGTAGGCATATGCTTTCACATCTAAAGTGTTTACTGCTAGCATTCAAACAACATCACATGTAGAAGGATACAATTATATTATTAAACAAGCACTATATAGTAATACTAGCCTATGTGATTTGGTTAAGATCTTAGACTCTTGATTTAAGAAAGAGGCTGAATGGAATCATTTTTTTGAATATCAGATGCTATCAAATTATATCAGAATCACTTCTGTTAGAAGTGAAATATTCTCTATTATTGATCAAAAAATATCAGAGTATTTAACTCTATATATTCTTTTGGTAGAACATATAGAAATAGCACAATATCTATATTATAATGCTATATTGGTTGATTTTGAAATAATCGGTTTATATGATAAGGTTTTTTTTACTTTTTATTTTTTTTATTTTTTTTATTTGTTTTTTTAATTATATTGGTAGTTCAAAATCTTAGATTTTGTGACTAGTGATATTGGATCGATTAATATCCAAATAATGTTAATATGTTAAATTACTAACTACTAGTATATTTTATTATTAGAATTAAAATATAGATAACAAATTTATAGAGGATTTATATAATGCGAGACAAATTTTACTAAAATCAATGGTCGAAAAAGTAAATAAAGACAGTATTTAAAAAATCTAGCAGATTGTAGATAAACAACCAGCCAATAATCAGCGAAATTATTTTATTATTGTCATGGATTCTGTTTCTTATCTATATATATATATGTCCAATATTTCTCAGGGTGTCATATGTTGATATTTTTTTCAGGTGTTGCTAATATTACAAATTGTCAGATTTTATATAAGAATGATAGCAACTCATTGGTATTGTGATAATAAAAAAGAAGCAAATAATCAATTAAATATTATCTTTGTAAATGAGTATGCTGCTCATATTCAACAAAACAAAATCATCCAAATTATCCCCCAACCAGCCACTATACCTCTTTCAGTAACAATAAGTGATCAATATGCTGCAGCTTGACATTTAAACTATGGTGAATTATGGGGTCTTGCTTGGCAAGCCACACAGCTTGCAGTCGACTGTAATGATGATGAAATAATATAATAGTTGAAAATATTTATTGATCGAAAAAAGTATTTTCTAGCAAATAATAACAAAAACAACCTGTTAACTAATGAATCTGATGATAATAGAGATAACAAAGACAATAATTTCACAGTTGCTAATCTGCCAATCAACAAATGTAAGGGTAGATCCGAAATAAAATGATACAAATCTGCTATAGAGAAAATGCGTCGTCAGCCCTATGTTTGCTGTATTTGCGATCAAACTGGCTATAATAATGCAAGATGCGAAAGAAAAAAGGTATAGAATATTAGGTGCAGATCAAATATAGTATATAGATATCTACTTTATATCAATTTATTAATCATAATGATATTCTTTATACTATATTTGATCTATTAGATATATTATTTGTAAATATTAAATTCAAAGTTTATAAATATTTAGTAGTTTAAAGCTTTCTGAAAATCATTATAACTGTTGCAATTGCATATTATTGGAAACAGTTCAACGACAATGTAAAAAATTATTCAGATTCATGATTATATTACTATATCAGTATTATAACACTAATATATGAATATGTCTGCTTTTCAATTGAATCAATTGTTTCTCATTAATACAATAATGTTTTATTAACAAATATAAAATCAATTTTCTGTTTATATATTTTTTTAAGTTTTTGAGCATGAAAATTGATAAATTGAATTTTCAACCTTTTAGATTGTTTTTTTTGGCTAATATATAAATTATTACATAGTTGAGTTCAAATTTATACTACTTGAGCATGGCCAAAGAAATCAAATTCGGGCTTATTAGGTTTTTTAAAAATTGGGAATTAGGTTGTAAGAAAAAAAGCCTGAATGCTAGTTTTTTTGTAAGTTTATATTGCGAAGCATTTATTGCAAGTAGTTTAAATACAACTACATATAATATTTGAACAATTAAATAATATATATTTAGAGAAGTTACAGGAAATATATTTAAGAGCCAGCCAGAACAAATCTTCTAAAACATTGATCGTATAATGAATTTTAAAGCTGCAGTGCGTAAAATATAATATCGGTACTGTAGCAATCTATGAAGTTTAGTATAGAAAATGTGATAAAATATACTATTCTATATATAATAATGTATTGCAACTTGTATTCTATATATCATTATATAGTTAATATAGTAGCTGTGAAACTTATCATATGATTATATATCTTACCCAGGTGTATCAACAAAATTTCACTATCATGTGATTCTGGAAAAATCTTTGATATTAGGGTTAGCGTTTAAATTAATATTAATGAATGATAGAGTATAGTAAAATTACTCAAGGAATTTTTTTTGTTAGTATACAAAAGGCAGTTTTTTATATAAATTTTTGAGAAATAAGCAATTTTTGAAAAAACTAACATTTGTTTTAGATCTCTGTGATTATATTATATTGCACAAAATTGTAATTAATTATTAGATAATTTGATATAGATTATTATATGACTGTGAAATCTTGTTGTATTTGTTTATCACGTGACTTAGCTTAGCTTTTTTTATGTAACCCATAACAAAAAAAAATTTATAAGGGGTAACAAATAGATTTCTTCTTAAAAAAATTCAAAGATTTAGGTTCTATAGCTTAGTAGTTAAGCTTTTAAATCCTTATAGACAAGATCATAGTTCAAATCTACCTGGAGGCATAAAATCAATGATTTTTAATTTTCTGTAAGCCAATTGGTAAGATCACTATTTTAGATACAAAGCTTTGTAAAAAGTCCAAATACAGTACAAAACTAGAATAAAAAGTTTCTAGAAGGAGCTCTGATCATGGAGTCATATCATTACATGTATTTTCTACAGAAAGTCTAAATTGTAGAAGATTATATATATAAGTCTTCTGGTTGGGGTGATCTAGAAGCAATACTAATATTTCATTACTTCTGTTTTAGGTAGTACTAATATCTTCATATCTAACTTGTAGGGTACTTGCTTGGAAGGATAATTAATAGATCATGCATACCAGTTCTAATTTGGATTGGCATTGATATTTGCTTAAGAGGGTAATATAATACTACCAAAACTAGAGTAATAAGAGAAACAGTGGACATATGAAAGGGCTGTAGTAAAGGATTATGCCTTAACTAAAATTGAAAGCACTTCTGGTATCGATAGAATAACTATAAAAAGCTACTTAGTATAGAGAATATAACACACTTTTGTATGTCTAAAGATACCAATTCAAAGCTCTAATTAGGAGTACTTAAGAGGTTATACATTATACCAAATAATTTAGAAAATGTTAAGACCTGAGAAAGGCAAACCAGTGGTATTAGCAGAGGCCTGGCTTAAGATATAAAATCAGCATACCTGAAAAAGTAAGTGAAAGATTTGTAGTATTCATGTAATAGATAGTTGTATAAAGGAATACAAGCTAATAATAGGTGGTATAAATACAAGATAAGTCCAAAAATTTGATATATAATACCAATACTTCTCATATGAAACTAATAGTGGTAGCAAGTACTTGGCTTGAGAAATGTATATAAGAGGCCACTTACTAGAAAAGTATATACAGTCAAACCTCTCTATAATCACACCTTCGGGATACAAAAAACTGTGATTATAAAGAGGTGTAACTAATATAGAAGTATTTTCTATATAGTTATAAATAATTGGTAAAAATAATTTTGTAATTATATTAATTTTGTGACTATAGAGAAGGTGACTATAGAGGGGGTTGACTATACTAGTATAAAAGTATCTAATAACAGGCACACCAAATTAGAAGACTATAAAGAATCGATTTTTTATTTGAAAGTAACCAAGGTTTGATAATAAAATATAAAGTGAATATAGTGAGTAACTAGGAATAGTCTAAACACCAAATTCAGATATAACCTAATATATAGTAAAAATATAGCATACTCTGGTAAATTTAGATTATAGATAAGATTGTCTAAGCCTATATTCTTAAGATAGATATATAGCTATATAAGGCAAATACTTGACAAATATATAATAAAGATATAAAGCAAAACCTCACTTTAATACTAAAAAAAAAAATTCAAAACAAACAGGATCAGATATATTTGTTTTTTTTTTTACTTTAGCGATCCTACTTTTATAAATCAGCAGTATATTATAGTAAGAATTTGGTTAGCTAAATCTACTAACTTTTAAATACTTCATGCCTGTCCAAATAAATATTCTTTCAATCTGTTTTATTATCGCAGTAGAATTTTAGCTTAGCTAAAATTCTATGCTAAAGTATAACCCAGGAGTGATTCACCTAAATAAACAATTTTCTCTTTTTGAAATTCTCAATTTTCTAAAAATATGAGCTCTAGATATAAACAGATAGTTTTCACTGATCTTGTCAGAATCACTGCTCTACAATAAAGTATTGCCAATCTGATGATACTTTCTTATAGAAAAGTAA